GCCAAACGTGGCAATTGCTAGGAAAATCCCCAATAGAGGGAGGACTGTATTTAGCAGTGGACAATTAACAGCTGGTATTATAGATATATTGCTGGTATTATAGTTAACCCTATTAACCTAAAAAATTGATAATATTTTAATACCCTTGCACTGTCTTTTGGAATCTTAAATTATTAAAAGGTTGAAAAAATACCTTCAGACGATTTGATCTGATGGGATTCGAACCCACATTTCTCGGCTATTTGGACATAGTGTGTTTTCAATTTAATCTTATAATGCGTGTAGAAGTAATTGAGTATTAGCCATACGTATGACATGAGGTTAAATTTATGAAAATGCAAAAGACAATGATGAATGAAAATAAAGTGACCTATCGCAATACGTAAATTCGTTATCTTAAGAAGGTCGCTCACGGAGACTTTTTACATTCAGTAGCGACAGAGTAGCAAAAAGACCGCGAAACAGTCGTGATGCTGTCACTGATCTTATACCTACGTATTTATTTAGACATCTCATCCTTTATTTATTTATTTATAAGAATATCGACAGTGTATTATACAATTTCAATACATGAATTTTATATATATAAAAAATCCTTGTTTTATTTTAATGGATGATATTCCAATATAGGAATTGTAACCCCGCCTGCACTAATGGTATACGCTGGCGGGGCACCAGTGAAAGGTCATAGGTGAATATAAAAAAGCAGGTCGGTTTTTTTTAATGGATGATAATGGAATGGTAACCCCACCCGCGTTATCGGTATACACCGGCCATCCCATCGTGAGCCCATCGTGATGAATACACACGGGATTCAGCACTATGATTTCCAGGGAGACCACATGAAGGTCGACCTGACGTGGCTATTTTGCTAGCAATGGGACTGGTAGTCCACATTACTAACAATCCCTTTCCCCCCTTATTATTTAATACAGATAAAGGAATGCCGGTTGTGACGGGAACATGTATCAAATAAGATGGAATGCAGTATTAAAGAGCACAGAGGAGGAGCGAGGTGTCCAGTGGTGGCGTCTTATAGGCAAGCAAAGTTTGGAGCGATCTCCAGCAAGGTAGCGTGACGATCTCAGGAGAGAGTCGCTGAATCCAAGCGGCACAGGATAATACTTTGTAGTGTATATGAAGGAAACCGTTTAACACTGTTTAACTATGGATAGAAATCTTGTAATGACGATGACGTATTTTAATATAATTATTAGTAATGAACATGATTTTATTATTTACTACGTGTATATGAAATAGTAATACAGACAATCTAGACATTGACATAATTTTCTATTGAAACAAAAAAATATTAACACAATATTTCAGTGACAATTAGGTGGACGATATAATTGCTTATAAATTTCATTGTATAAAACAGTATGGCTCTAAAAAATTCGTCTAAAACTAGTTTATTAAATCATACTTAAAAACCGTATCTCACAGAAAAAAAAAAACAATAATTGTCACAAAACAGTTATTTTGATTTAAAAACTAAACTACTGAACCGATATTGATAATTTTTTTATAGAATCAATAAATATTCGAATTGGTTTAGAACTAACAAAGCTATGAGGTAACAAACAAAAAAATTTTGAAAATCTTCTTTTTGAAGTCGGTTGAAAACAGTATAGAAATTAGTACATCCCTTTGAATTTTAGAATCACTTGGACATTCTAGGCAATTGCGTGCGATTCATTCGCAATTAGTAATCCGGAGGTATAGAAACCAAGGCTTGCAACTCTGTTAGTAGTTTACCTTGCATTCGAGTATACTATCACTCAAAATCTAAATTCATGAAATGAAGCTCTAGTGCATTCTTATTACGATTTAAATTACCATGTCCGCTTATAATTTTACAAAGTAACACCTGTGGTAACACACATGAAGAAACTTATTGAATTATTCAAATATAAAAAAATTAATTGAATACTTAGTAGTCTTAGAGTATGTATCATCTTTTCCGCCGTTAACTGTTCACTGTTGAACATAAACCTTTCCCATAAGGGGAGTTTTGACAGCAGTTGCCATGCTTGCCGGGCGGGTTGGCAACCGCAGTTAGGCTATTAGAGATGTTTCAAGAGGGATGCTGCTGTCTATCCCTCTATCATTAAGTTCCCTTAGTCGCTTGTTACGATACCCCTGAAAAAGGAAGGTATGGCCTATTCTATACCGGAATCATGCGGCAATGATATTTTAATTATATTATTTAATAAAAAATAAATAGATATCAAATTTAAATAAAATTAAAAAAGAAATATAATTAATAACCGAAACGTAATTAGTTGATAATTTAATGAGCATAATATACATATACAAAAATATACAATTTAGAATATTTTTTTAAGTAGATAAAAAATGTCCATGTTTACGGGATTCTAAAATATTATATATATATAATATTATATATAATAAAAAAATACTGTATTTTATATGTATATTTTACGATATTGTATAGTTTTACGATATTGATTCATCTTATGAAAAATTATTAATTAGTTATTTATGAAAACTTCATTGTTACATTGTGTGTGGGCTAAATTGCCCAATCAATGTAGTCCAATCAATATTAGGTGATTTATATCTGCACATAGTCGATTATGAAAAATTCGCTGCGACTAAGTTTAATAAATTAATCAATGTGGAAACGCTGCAAGCGTTATGGGGACCTTGAGTCAGGTACAGAACGTGAAAATTGTTTGTTTAAAATTATATTATTTTTAGGTTCATTTTAAATACACAAATTAAAATTTTTGGATTATTGTGTATATAATTTTTTGTACATGTTCATATCGTAAATTTTATTTGTATAATTAATTAATTAAATGTATACAATTTATTTTATTCTGGTTATTATTAATATTTACATTTTTTTTTCGAAAAGCGCTTGTACATTGCAAGGATCTGTTTCAATATACGTGGGAGTGTACTGTGTATATCCGAACATCAGTCTGTGCTGCGGCTATTGTTCACCAAATGACTTCCTTCTATCTGCTTTACCACGAGATGTCGTCAGATTTAGCAGGACATGACGATATTCGACTTGACATGTGCTGTATCTAATAAATATATATTGATATACATTTATTATAATACCTTCTATTTATATTCATTGTTTTAAAAAATATAATATTAGATTCCGTAACTATTTACATCTTTTTTTTTTATACCACTGAAGTGGAAAACAAGCGTACGGCCCGACTGATGGTAAACGGTTACCATAGTTTATGAACACCTGTGATACGGAATCACACGCGCGTTGCCGACCACGAAGAAACCTTTTTAAAGCTTTTACATTGATTTTTAAGAACTCAACAATTATTTAATAAAAAAATAATCTGAGTAAGAGTGAAGCAAATACCACAAATTAGATCTAAACAATTAATTTTTCAAGAGTCCTATATTAAAAATGAAAATAATATAGCTTTTATTGTTCGACTAGCTTTTATCTGCTGACCAGGATAAAAAGTAGCCTATATCCTTTTCCATCGCATGTAGTACGTGTATTCCAAATTTCATAACGATTGGTTAAGCCGTTAAGACGCTATAAAGTAACAAACAAACAAACTCACTTTCACATTTATAATATTAAAATATAAGGACGTACAAAAATATATCACATTCGATACCTGTGTATAAACCTCTTAAGTAAGTTAAAGACTTATGCAAGTCACGTGATGCAATGAGTTGCGTAGTCATCAAGTCCCATGACATATATTTTTTGTCACTTGGATAGCGTATGTAATATATGCGAATTATTTAGGAAAACCGTCTATTGCTGTCTTTATAGACTTACGTAAGTTTGTTATTATATTTATTAAATCCCTGTCTTCACTAAATATTAATTCTGACCTACAAATAATATAAAATTACCTGACCATAAAAGAACATTCCAAAATATCGTCTTATGTACCTCTAATGTGACAAATAACTTATCTTCAGTGTGTTTCATTTTTCAATATTGATATATATTTTTATTTTTTTTATTTTTGGATCTTTTGTCGTCGTGGTAAAAAAATTAATGATCATAATTTATTACGAACTTTATATCGTATAAAATATAAAAGTTAATTTTTATATTTAAAATTTAGAAATTTTGTAACCTCTTTTATGTACTTTCTTTTTGTTTTTTTTTTTTTTTGTATATGTTTTGTTTTATTACTTTAAATATATATCAGTAGCTAATGTTATTTGTGTGCTATAAGTGATACAAATAAATTATACGAGTATATCTATCTATTTATAGAAGTAAAATAAAAAAAGAAACAATTTAAGTAATAAGAACAATCTACAGGAAAATGTTTATAGAAAATGAAATATGGATCCTAAGAGAGTACTCAAGAATGGAAAAAATTAAATTGAAAAATAAAAAAAAAAACACTGTTATTTCAATAGCAATCTGCTGTCCGTATTTACGTTGCGTAATTAACTTTTACTCTCTCTCCAAAATATGTATTATTATATTGGATACTTGTTAAACATTCTGTCAGTTTGAATGTAATAATGATAATCTTTGAAATGATATAAGCAAGTGACTCTGCTAATATGTGCTATGCAATTTTTTTAATATTATAAATTCGACAACGAGGTTGTTGGTTTGTAACCTCACGAGTACGTTAAGTTACAAGCCTTTATAGTTTAACCAATTATTATGAAATTCGTATTATATAGGACGGAGACGGATATAGGCTACTTTTTATCTATTAAATTATTCAAAGTTAGTTATTCTATATTTATTAAATTATTGTAGACTTTAAAAAATCGTGATCATGACACGTAACTTTTGCATTTTGTTATCATTCTAATTTTTAAATTTATAACATTATTTAAAGTAATTTATATATTATTATTAATAATTATGTATGCAGGGTTCAACTGTAGACAATTTAATTTCGTTTTAGAAACAAACAGGTAAAGTTATTTATTAGCAAGGAAATTTATTAATGTATTGTAATAAAATAGAAATGAATTATATAGCTATATAAATAAGCGTAACTTACCATAAAGCGGCCCCACCATCAACAAATAGAGAATTATGACCAAAAATATTTGTGTTCTTCCATTAAACTCCCTAGGTTTTAGGACCACTAAAATTGTATTTCCGACCAGTTGAAATACGTCGAGTGAGATCTTCTTAAATCGATTCATTTCCGTATTTTTAATTGTACAAATGTTATCAGTTATCACGTCTTCAAGGCGAAATAATCCATAAATGAATGAAGAAGTATGAAGAAAGATCAATAAGGAAAATACACCATAATATCCCAAAGCACGAAGCATGATCCCGCTCAGAGCTGTACCAACAGGAGTACCAAAACTGACAAATATAGTCACTACACCTAAACGAAATGTCCTGTCTTCTATGGTCGTTCTATCCGCTATAAAACTGTACATTCCCATAAACACGATTATGTAGCTTCCAGTAAACGCCGCGGGCAAGGCTTCAATAAGCGCGGTGGCGGTCAAGGATAACTCTTTAAAATAGTAAGTGGCGAATATGAGGCCAATATTTACTATTATTTCCCCAGTGAAAGGGAAAAGTATGCAAATTTTTCTCTTTTTATACTTGTCACTCCACGCTCCGACAAAGAGCACTAGAAAAGCCGGTATTATGGTTTGCAAGGGGAATTTCCAGGCTGTCACTTTCGCCACTAAAGTCTGTACTGCTACCATTTCTTCCTCCAAGTTGGTAGTGTTCAAATCTCTGATTCGATCACAAACATCTTCACTGAAATTTAAGTTAACTCTGCATGATTTGTCCAAATGCATGTTCTGTACCGCTAAAGCTGATAGAGAAGTGCAAAACATGTACATAAACAAACAGGGTTCAACAGTTGTCTCGCGGAAGAAACTCTTCACTTTCTTCAGTACTTTCTTCGATTTTTCTAACCACATGGAATTTTGTAGATTGTTTGTAAGTAACGCATTCGAATTAGTTAATTCATCGACACGACAAATATTCTCTGTACTCGTCATCATGGTGAATTTAAAAGATAATAGGAAGACACTTCACGTTTCCTTCAACGAAGGCGATGCACTACATCTACAGTGCTTGGATATTCACCGATCACTGACTATAAACAAGCATTATCGACATTTCGACGCTCGTTTCCAAAAACCTGGGCTGTAAAATCTGTATAAAATGTGACACGATATGAACGTGCGCCGGCGCAACGTGTGTACAAGCCTCTCGGCTGTTACGATAACAGAGGTCTCACCGTCGTCGACAACACTTTTAAATAAATTACTCATTTATCTGAGCACCTCGAGTTATTCATCAGCAAATAGTTATTTTGTACATATATTTAGAACAACGTGTGCGCTGCTCAAATTGTTAATGGTATAACCAAAATAATTACTCTGATTAGCCTTAGACGAGTACGAATACTTCTATTTAAATGTTTTCTTTTTATCGCGACATTCGACAGTACATCAAGAATTAAATAAACCAACGTAATCCCCACTATATATTTTATAGTTAGTACTTACACACGTCTGGTTGTCACCAGGTATTTTAATTGAGTAGGCATAGCAGACTGATAGTATTATAACTACCTCAAGTCCTTGGGTTTATTTGTTTTATGAATGAATTCCAATAACAATTCACTTTATGTGTAGCAGATACTGAACTATGTCTTTCTTCACAGGTCAATGCCTCTTGTAAATGTTGATTATGCTGATTATTATTTTTTTCTTATAAACATATTGTACATTGTAATTTTTACATTGTAAAACCTTTATTTTAATATCAAAGAAAAATGTCAAGTTATATTAAGATTAAATAAAATGCAATCTATTTAAAAAAGACGATTCTCAATTTGCCAGTATTCCTTGTGTATGTTATTTGACAATTCTAAACCGTATTTTGTTCTTCTTCTATCATTTAATCTTGATATATGTAAAACAGGAACTTTATCAACTTATTATTTTGTCAACTTATTATTATTATGTTTTTCGTTTCCGTCATCTATGTATATATATCGATCCTATTTTAATTTAAGTAATTTTTTTCATAAATTTGTATCGGGAAAATTTGATTAGAAAATCGAATATAGGAAAATGGCACCTATTTGTATACCGTTAAAAATAGAATTAGCTTACCGCTCTTGTTTTCAACAATGAGATGTATTTTTCAATCTGTAATCCTATGGGACCTGATATTGCGCTCTTTTAGTTAATTTACATTTTTACTCGGACTTCATTCGCGTAAAATTTGTACTTTGTATTAGTTTATATCCACCTATAAAAACTGCATGCAACTGCTTACAATGCAGCTAATTGGTTTTATTTGCAAATTTGTCATTCTATACACTTTAAAGATAAAGTATTACCTTTCGTTATTTATAACAAATTATTATTTCTTTATTTATATTAAATTGTATTGTATTGTAGATAAACAAATAAAAAAGATTTTTTAAAGAACCAAAAACCTTTCAACAATCGATATATAAAACATTATTCTTACGAATATCAAAATGATAAGCATTCCGTAGACCCACGTTTTTTATTTTCTGGTTATTGTATTCACATCAAATCTAACCCTCTTCTTGTCACCATTTCTTCCCTTGTCATAAGAATAAATCATATCAACAAAGAAATATTTTTAAATATATAGTAAAATGGAATATGTAGCTCAGTTTTGTATATCAGGGAGGGGGTGGGAGGGAGAGAAATTTCTGGAGACCAATATCATTCCACTCTTCTTTTTAATGCGTGAGAATAGAATGGTAACTCCTCTTGCGCTATCGGTATATGCAAGATACCAGTATACCAGATGATACTTGTAAATTAGGATGAAAATCAGTTAGCCTGTCGTAACAAATTCCGCAAGAATTAACCACGATGTTTTTTAGAACCTGGTAGGGTATATATCTAGAAACGAGGCTGTTAGACACCATTACTAATAATCCCTTCCCTACATTCACCCTGGAAATTATTGATGGATCAATGGTCTCTATTTACCAGTGAGGAGTATGGCGACGAATTAGAATTAGTTTAATAGAGCGGCCGGGGTAATAATTCTGTTTTGATCAATTTAAAAAATATCATTATATTGGAAAAACCATTCTTATTATTCCTATTAAGATTTGCAGACATTTTTATCTCTAGATAGTAACATAATAAGCGTATATCGTAATAGTTAATTGCTATAATTTTTTGATGACATTAAGTATTTTAAAAATTCTAATCCTAATAATACACACGATATGACATAATGAAGAAAGGTTGTTGACCGAATTTTATTATACAACAGCATTTAAACAACCTGCTTTTATCATCAACTAAGTATGTTAGGTGACAATGACAATAATTACGGTCGACACACATACTTTTATGTGGATTAGTTTAAAACAATTGTTTTTATCATTAAGCTATTTTTTTTTATCTTGACGTCAATAAACATAGTATTTGGGATAGAGAATGATATAAGAGACGTCAATGGTCAAGAGATGGGCTCTTAAAACGTTATCAATAGCAGATCTGTAGTTGTCAACCCGTCTGCCAAGCGTGGCAACTACTAACAAAACCCCCAATAGAGCCTATGTTCAACAGTAATCAGTTAATGGCTGATATGATGATGATGATGAAGGATCGTACTTTATGCGTTCATTACTGTACTAAATTGACTATTTAAGTAATGTTGTTTTGCTTTATATTGCATTTATTTTGTTATTATATATTAAACTAAAACGTGTCTCATCAAAATTTATAACTTTGTAATCATTATATATATATATATATATATATATATATATATATATATATATATATATATATATATATATATATATATATATCTTTTTTGCATATATAAAAACCGATCGATTGTGTAATTATGCAAATGTGAAAACGATTCATGGCTTAACATAGATATATCTTGATTATGTATTGATTGTCATTCAGCTGTAAGTTTTCCAAAAAATAAATAAATTATGTTTTTTTTTATGCAACTTAGAATGGCAAAGAAGCTGACGTCTATCTGATGGATAGTGGTAACTGTCGCTTATAGGGGGGGGGGGGGAGGGATTGTTAGTAATGCGAGCTATCAGTTTCATTGCTAGCAATATAGTCTGTCAGGTCGGCCTCCACGCGGTTCCCCCTGGAAATCATTGTGACTAATTCTAATTGAATTCGTCAGGATGGGCTAGCTGGCCTACTTTCATTCTCATCGATCACCCTTCACTGTTGCTCCGCCAGCGTCTCCCGTTACCATTCCATTTTCACCCATCAAAAAAAAACCGTCGCTTATAGACATGAGCAGTACCATGGACATAACAGAGTATATTATTTCGCCCATGATACCCCCCATGCGTTGCCACTCCTAAGATTATATTATTCTTCTGTACTCTGTAAATTCACTATCATATCCCACCCTTCAAACCGAAACACAGTTATTCAAATACAACTGCTTTACGGTAGAAACACGAATGGGATAGAGGTGTCCAAGTAAACGACTTTTGTACAAAGTCTCCCTTTGGTAAAACTCATATAACAAATTTTATACTGTAAAGGTTTAAACTGTAATAATACCTAAATTGAAGTATTATATTAACATGTAATGATTATGAGTAAAGTATCAACTATTGAGAGTTGTTGTTATGGATAAACTAAAAGAGCTAACATTGTCTGTCTAAATCGAAACCTCAACAGGTAGATCTCGCCATAACTTTTAACAAATGCAAGGGTTTTTTGCATGACATAGCCGCTTGAACCGGTTATTATTAGATAGGCATTTCCTATTTCGATTTCTTCTTACCTATACCTAATTATTATAGGCAAACTGATGAATGTATTATAATTTTTTGGAACGGCAATATCACCTGCGCTGTCAGTATGATAATGAAATGAATGATTATGAAAGAAGATTATTTGATACATCGAAACAACTTCATCAAAAATGTGATAGTTTCTGGAAGAAATCACTTCTACTCAATACTTAGTTAATGAATGAATACTCAGTCCCTGACGAATTGACAAACCTAACATTTAGACATTACCTATAAGGCTGGCATAGTCACCCAAGTGTACTGAAGCCTCAACAAAGATTAGAAAAAAAAATTATATATGAAATATATATATATATATATATATATATATATATATATATATATATATATATATATATATATGTTGCAGTCAAAACTCTTAACCAGTCAAAAGTACTATTGACTAGCAAAATCATCAAAAGTACTTTTGACCGTATGCATTAGTCAATAATACTTACTACTAAAATAACAGTTAACAAGTAAGTTTGACTGCAACATATACATTAATTATATTTTGATTACATATTTTGTTATAAAACGATACCAATTATGTGTTATGTTGGTGGATTATGGCTTCTGATGGTCATAGTAATAAAGAAAACGAACAGCAAATTAATTATTCTAAAATATCTACTCACTACTGTTATCTCCAGAAGATTATAGTAATAAGTAGAAATAAAAAAAAAATTAAAACAGTACTTATAATGTTAAAAAAGAAATTACATATATAATAAAAAAAATAGTTTAACAATTCAAATCCTTTTTTATTATTTTAAATGACTGAGGATTTATTATTTTTTATTATACGATATGTTACATACAAAGAAGGACAGAACGAAACTGGCTCGTCTTTTTTATATTACATGTAACATAATTTTTTTTAAATGTACTATCTAGAATATTCAGATAGATTTAATATTATAACAACTGATTAATGTCTCATTAATCATATAATCTTAATTATATATAAGTACGTTATAATATTAAATTATAATTAATTTGAATTCCATGCCTAGTGTAATCTCTCTCATTACAGGAAGATATTAACATGTTGGTTAGATGACTTGGTATAGAGTTTAAATTTTGGTTTCCCTTTGATAGATTACTAAAAATGTACTCTAATAGCAAATTAAAATTAAAGATTCTTATAAAATTATTACTGAAAATTTTGATGGTAATAACAAAAAAGTACAAGTGCATGAAAATTTTCTAAGCAAAATGTGAAGTAGGTGCAAAAATTTTAGTGGTAGATTTATCTGATTATCTTAATATAGTGTAATATATAATATTAGATAGTAATATATTGTCGAATGTGAAAAACAGGTTAATATTTAATCAAATGTCAATTGACATTTGGCTAACAAAGATTAGACGTATTTTTTTTAATTAAAACAAAACGCGTCCTTTTTTTAGTATTGGATTTTGTTAATTTGAATTAGTAACTATATTTTTTTTATATAAATATACATGTATACATATTGCTTACAAATGCATATACACGCATTAATTAAAATGGCGATCATTTTCAGTGATTTAAAAACGCAAACATATTTAAGTGTTTACATAGATATACGAGTAAGTAAATTAATCAACAAAGATAAACATCATTACAAATCATTAGGCATTGTTTACATTAGTCTTAAATATGTATTCGTAAGAATTTTGTATCGTTTTATATTTAATTTTACATAGCTAAGAG